TTTCCCACGAATAGGAAGTCGCCACGTGTCCAAAGCAAGTCGAATGAACTTCTCTGCCAGGTCGAGATCGGACCAGACAGAGAGGGGGCCAATGTTTGGGGAAGGGAATACCCTGGACACGTGGAGGACCCCTATTGGTTCTCCAAGATGACTCATGAGTCATGCACAGCTCGGACCGCCGAGATCACCACCACTAGCGTTGACAGATGCTAAGTATGAGGGCCGAGGTGAACCTGGCCGAGGTCCGACCTACCGGGAAGCTCGGTAGGGGCCGATGTGAGCAACTGTCAGCGGCGTGATTATAGGGCGTAACCGTCGGTCCCGAGATTACCGGGTGTAACCGACAGTCCCGAGATTACCGGGTGTAACCGTCGCGAGATTAGCGGGACCACCACCCATAAGTAGAGGACCTCACTCCCCGATCAAGTACGATGATTTCTGGCCTCGAACTAAACTGGGAATCCGACCTATACTGACTTGATCGTCGGAGTGCTCACCTTTTTGTGCAGGTCCGCCCAAGCGTTCAGGTCGGTCCGAAAGTCGAGTTCGAGCTGCAATCTGGAACACACTTTTGTGCACATCCTTACATAAACATCATGTAAATCACTTTTCTATATATATATATATTCTTTTTCTTATTTGAGTATTTCCTACTTCCCTAATTTGATTACTATAATGTATGAAGGAGAAAACTTTCAAGACATTACTTTTGCTAAATAACTATATAGAATGTAAATATGACTTCTCGTTTCAAAAAAAATAAAGACTTCTAAAAAGAATCGACTCCACATTAGTAAGTATAAGTAATTCATTTTTCATCTAGATAAAGAAATATTAACAAAATATATATATTCACTAAATATAATATTTAAAAGATTTGAATACTATTTTGATGCTTGTACTTTAAAAAAATAACTATTTTTGTTTTTTTCATTTTCACTTTTATCTCATTATCTTTCCATCACAATTTTAGTATAACATTTTATTCACTAAATTTTTTAAAACATGGACATAAATTTTGTGTTAAAATTTTACAAAGGGAGATTAAAATAGACCATTTTTAAAAACATTTTTGAAAGTGTAGACTAAAATAAACAAAAGTTGAAAGACAAGACCAAAATGAGCCAAAATGATAAAAAATGGTATTTAAACCTATTTTGAAAAAATCAACAAAATGTACCAATTAAAATAGTAAACCCAAACTACTTATCACTGGTAAGTGTCAAGTTATAATGTTGATGACTTTTAACCATAACAAAAGTTGAATCACTTTGTACAAGTTGACTACAATTCAAAGCAATCATATCATGCAGTTTTCTCAATAAGAACATTAACAAAATAGAAAGTCTTCAACAAAAGGCCTGGATTGTACATTGAATGCAAGAATAAAAATTAAACAAACCTTACAAAAACAATAAACTATTATATGAATAATCTTCAAAGCTTTCCCTTTAGCGCAAGCTAGCTACTTAGTTTGAAATTTAATTGAATAATTTTTCCAAAAAACAAACTGCAACCTTACGTTTTCTCTTAAAATCTCCATTATTTCATCTGTGGCAAAGGTGGGAAATGCCTTTTTTCCTTTCGGAAGCAAAGCCATGAAGCCAAAAGTGTGGGAACTTTTTTCTGAATTGTTGCATGTTTCTTCTGAATCCGAAAGATTTGGCATGTGGGTGCTCCAGTGACTGTGTATAAAATGGAGTTTTGGGTATGGTATGGCCATCTCAAACTCTGTGAAGAAGAAGTACTTCCTCCTTTGTGTTTGGAGGGTTTTGCTTCTTCTTTTCCGATGGCTTGTTCTGCTTTTCAGCTTCTTGTGCCACTGGCTGTGGTCGTGGCGATGGCGGTGATGGTGGAGGCGACGCCGCCGGGGATTGCTAACAATCCGAGCCATGCAACGTGCAAGATTAAGAAGTATAAACATTGTTATAATTTGGTTCATGTTTGTCCTAAGTTTTGCCCTGATCAATGTACTGTTGAATGTGCCTCTTGTAAGCCTATATGTGGTGGTGATGCCAATACTCCTCCGGAGGATGATCCCACTCCGGCCACCCCCTCGCCGCCATCTCCTCCTTCTGAGACTTATTACTCGCCCCCACCTCCGTCAACACCTCCGGTGAACCCCAACCCTCCGACAACACCTCCAGCAAATCCCAACCCTCCATCAACCCCTCCAGCGAGTCCCTACCCACCGGCGGAACCCAACCCTCCAGCAACACCTCCAGCAAATCCCAATTCTCCACCAACGCCCCCGGTGAATCCCAACCCCCCAACAAACCCTACTCCTTCAATGCCTCCGGCAAGTCCAAACCCCCCGTCAACGCCACCTGCGAATCCCAGCCCTCCATCAACGCCACCAGCGAATCCCAACCCTCCATCAACGCCACCAGCGAATCCCAACCCTCCCGCAACGCCTCCCGTGAAACCTTACCCTCCTCCTTCAATGCCTCCGGCAAGTCCCAACCCTCCTTCAACCCCTCCGGCAAGTCCCAACCCTCCTTCGACGCCTCCGACGAGTCCCAACCCACCTTCGACGCCTCCGACGAGTCCCAACCCACCTTCGACGCCTCCGACGAGTCCCAACCCGCCTTCGACGCCTCCGGCGAGTCCCAACCCTCATCCAACCCCTCCAACAAATCCCTACCCACCGGCAGAACCCAACCCTCCAGCAACGCCCTCGGTGAATCCAAACCCTCCATCAACGCCTCCAACGAGTCCAAACCCTCCGTCAACACCTCCGGTGAATCCCAACCCTCCGTCAACACCACCAACGAATCCCAGCCCTCCGGAAATACCTCCCGTGAAACCTTACCCTCCTCCTTCAACACCTCCAGCGAGTCCCAACCCTCCTTCAACACCTCCGACGAGTCCCAACCCATCACCATCCACTCCAAATTCTCCATCACTGTCGCCTCCTCCACAGACGCCATCAGAAACTCCTAGCTCCCCAAGTACTAACACTCCTCCCCAGCCGCAGCCTTCTCCACCACCATCTCAGCCAGCTTCCCCACCACGATCAGCTCCTCCTGGTAATGCTGGGGAACCAACAGCTTCATCTCCACCATCTTCTTCGGCCGGTGCAGCAAAAAAGAAAGTCAGATGCAAAAATGTGAATTATCCTCAATGTTATAACATGGTTCACACTTGTCCCAGCGCCTGCCCTGCTGGATGTGAAGTCGATTGCGTTACTTGCAAACCTGTCTGCCGTAAGTATCATTATCAAACTATTCAAATCATCCAAATTATTACCTTAAACTATAACTTTGGCATATAAATTTTCAGAGTTAGTATCTATTAGTTCTTATACATTAAAAAACATTTAAATAGATTGCTAAACTTCTATAATCAATTCAATCGTTGTTTTAGACTCTATATTATGGATTTCTACAAAGAATCTTTGTCTTGACATGCTTAGTTTAATGCTTAAATGGCACACTTACCTTATTAGATATAAAATCCTTAAATAATATACTTTGTGAGCGTCCTATAAGTGCTAAATAAACTTAACAAAATGATTTAGATATATAATTGAAAGTCTAAGCACCTGTTATAAACATTTTAAAAGAATAAGCATAACTCTAGCTCATTAAAAACTGTTTATAGTAGGACTAACTAGTGAAATTTCAAGATAAAAGACTAAATAGACACACTAAACTTATATTAATTTAACAAAATAATGAACATCAAATTGAGATATTTGATATTTAGTTTTTTGGTTGAATAATATGGCAGATTGTGACAGACCAGGAGCAGTATGTCAAGACCCACGTTTCATCGGCGGCGACGGCATCACCTTCTACTTCCACGGCAAGAAAGATCGAGATTTCTGCCTGGTTTCAGATTCCAACCTCCACATCAACGCCCATCTGATCGGAAAACGAAACCCCAACTTAAAAAGAGACTTCACATGGGTCCAATCCCTCGGAATCCTCATCGACGGTCACCAGATCTTCATCGGAGCCCAAAAAACCGCCGCCTGGGACGATTCTGTTGACCGCCTCGCCGTCGCCGTGAACGGCCAGCCGGTGGCCCTCCCTGAATCCGGAGGCAGCCAGTGGCAGTACCCCGACGAAAATCCGACCATCTCCGTCGTCCGGCTGGCTCCGGCGAACCAGGTGATGGTGGAAGCGAAGGGGATTTTCAGAATCACGGCCAAGGTGGTTCCGATAACGGAACAGGATTCGCGGATTCACAACTATGGAATAACGAAAGAGGATTCGTTTGCCCACTTGGATTTGGGGTTCAAATTTTTCTCGCTGAGCGATGAAGTGAGCGGCGTGTTAGGGCAAACGTACGGCCCTGAGTATGTGAGTCGCGTAAATCTGAAGGCGGCAATGCCGGTGATGGGGAGGGAGAAGGAGTTCGAAACGTCGAGCCTGTTCGCGGCGGACTGCGCGGTGGCAAGATTTGGCGCCAGCGGTGGCAGCGGCTATGAGGCGGCGGCGGCTTGAAGTTTTTGCTTTGCGGAGGTTGATTACTTGAAATCGGAAAGGGAATTTTTCTGTTTGTAAAGAATAAAGGCGTTGGAGGGTAAAAGTGTAAGCTCCAATGGATAAATATCATTATAAAATCAGTAATATATAATTATAAATTTATATAATAATAATAGTACTATATAACTCTTTTAGTTGAGTTTCGATTTTAATGTCTAATTTTTTTTCTTATCGCTTGAAATTTAATTTTTAATTTTTATTTTAATAAGTCTCCTTTGTAATATTATTGTTCAAATGTTTATATCTGACCATAATTATTTGACACGATTTGACATAAGAAAATAGTAATGTGTCATATAACAATAGAACTTCCTCTTTAAATCATAATTGTCTTTATTTTGTTGTTAACTATTTGGACGATGGACAACATTACTTATAATATATGTATTTTGTGTTAGACTTATGTATGTTTGGGTTATCAATTTGAACATAAATTTAGTGTACAAAATATTAATTACTATCTTAAAAGTTGATAATCCATTTTGTATTCATTGTTGTTGAACTCAAAAAAGTAAGAAATATTGCTAATGGTTGTTAATACATATATTATAGTTCGTTACCGTATGTGAAACCATCGAGAATAAATAAAAATACCAAAATAATAAATTTGTTTCAAAAGTTAGGGGACTAAGCTATTTTTAATGCTTATAGATTAAATGAAATCTATAATTGAAATGATGAAAATGAAAATGAGATTCAAAACTCTAATTATAATTATAATTTATGAGGTAGGTGGCAGAAATTATAATTAGAGATTAAACTAAACCCCAACATAAATTCAATAAAAAATCATAAATTTAGTAAGAGCGGGATCAATATAAAACTTAAGAAATAAAACCGATTATACCAACAAAATATAATTATAATTTTAAAGTTTCAAATTCAAATTTTATAAAACAGAGACTTAAGAGACTTGTACAAATTATAATCAAGCTAAGTGAAGAAGTCGGGTCAATTTTCAATAGGACTCAAAATTTAGGGCTATTTGTGCAAAAAAGGCAAGAAGGAAATGGGTTTAGAAGGTGTGTGTGATGCCGAACCCACAAACCCTCGAGAGGAGAGAGCAGAGAGCAGAGCATGGAAGGGGCATCGTACCAGCGCTTCCCGAAGGTGAAGATCCGAGAGCTCAGAGATGACTACGCCAAGTTCGAGCTCCGCGACACCGACGCCAGCATGGCCAACGCCCTCCGCCGCGTCATGATCGCCGAGGTTCCCACCATCGCCATTGACCTTGTTGAAATCGAAGTGAACTCCTCCGTTCTCAACGACGAGTTCATCGCCCACCGCCTCGGTCTCATTCCCCTCACCAGCGAGCGTGCTATGTCCATGCGCTTCTCTCGCGACTGTGATGCTTGTGATGGCGATGGCCAGTGCGAGTTTTGCTCTGTCGAGTTTCACCTTCGCGCCAAGTGCCACTCCGACCAAACCCTAGACGTCACCAGCAAGGATCTCATTAGTTCTGATCACACTGTTGTGCCTGTTGATTTCGCTGATTCTGCTGCTGCTAGTGGTGAAGTGCTCGATACCAAGTATTTCCTCTCAAATCTTCTGTCTTTTCTTTTACACCTGTTGCTAGAGATTGTCTATTTCTACTCAGGAGCTACGAAGTTCTGATTGCTTATTTCTAGGCAACATTGCTGCGTGGTTGTAATGGGGGTCGATATCATTTTAATCTAGGATATCTAGCATCATTACGTTGGAAGTTACTGCTCCCCAATTTGAACTGGTCTTGTGGTAATTGTAGAGGAATAATCATTGTGAAGCTACGGCGCGGTCAAGAACTGAGGTTGAGAGCCATAGCCAGGAAGGGCATTGGTAAGGATCATGCAAAATGGTCTCCTGCAGCAACTGTGACCTTCATGTATGAGCCAAGCATTCACATCAATGAAGACCTAATGGAAACGTTAACACTAGAGGAAAGGAAAACCTGGGTTGAAAGTTGCCCAACCAGAGTATTTGAAGTTGATCCTAATACCCACCAGGTTCTTCTCATATGACCTCAATCTCATTTTCTTTTTATTTGTTGCAATAATCCGCTGAAATTTTCAGGCTGCCCTCGTATTATTGTGCTATTTCCCTGAGGGCTATGTTCTGGATTGTATCTGTCCTCTTGTATCACTGTCTATTGTTTGTGGTTTGCCAGGCAGATTTAGCATGTTTGTAAGTTTTGAGAATAAAATATAGTATTTTTTTTTTTTCTATTGCTTTTCATATGAGGGAGAGCTAATGTAAGATTAGAATCAAGATAGATGAAATCTAGTACTAATTCTGTGACTTTGCAAAGAAGGGCCTTGTTATACCTTTTTTTTTTATAAGAAACTTTGCTAAATCATAAAAAAACCTTTCAATCCTTGAGGATCATGTAAATAGGACAGTTACAAAAGAATTTGCTATAAGAATGGCTCCACCTAGAAGTTCTAAGCTGTACAGTATTACAAAAATAGTAAGATTAGAAGCCTTATCCTCAAAATATCTCTGGTTCCTTTCCAGCCAAAGACACAAGCAGAAAATCCCCAAAGGGTTTTTGCTTTCCACCCTAGATTCCAGCCCTGAAGCGATACCAAAAGCCTATCTTTCACATTCCTCGAGAGACACAAAGATAACCAAAAAGGTTTAAGAAGTATTCCCATATCTTCTAAGCATAATTTCAGTTGAGGAATAAATGATATATATTCTCCTCATCTGAAAGACACAGAACACGCGCCGTAGGAGGAAGCACCTAGTTCTTGGATATCCTTTGCAGCTTGATTTGAGCGTTCAACCCCTTATGAGATAACAATCATAGGAAGACTTTTGTTGTACTCAAACTTCTAGATCTTTTAGTTTTGGCATTACATGTTAGCAAGCTGTTTGTTTGCGTTCATTTGCTAGTTTTGAGTTGACAACTAAGGTTTTTATGATGTACCTCATTTACATGATACTGTGGAAGTGTGTTCCTCTTCTACGTACATGATATTTTGAATGTTATTGATTTAGGCAGACAATCTAATCTCTCTCTCTCTTTTTTTTTTTAATAAGAAGGTAAACAATCTAGTTTTGAAAGTTGTAACCACCTGTGCCAATTCTAAGTTGCATGCCTAGTCATGCTATAGGTGCCTTGCCTATTGCTAGGGCAGATGATTTGCACTTGATATGCATCATTGCATCTCCTTTGAAGCTCCCAATTTTTTAGATTAACGTTATTACTACTATTCTTCACTTTCTTACATATAACTCTTATCAGTGCTCTTTTGTAGCTATTTTCCTCTTTTTTCCTTTTTGGTCAAAGGTGATACGAATTCTCTCTCAAATATTTAAGAATCTTATTTCATTGCCCTGTGTGTAATATTTTTTACCTTCAAAGATCTACAGATTCTACCTTTATAATATACCTAAAGAAATGCTATATATGTCTAATGTAATTATTTACTGATATAATCTTGTGCCTTATAACAAACACCCAGAGAAGTTCCACATGTTAGGAGGAAAAAAGAAGGGCACCTTGTCCATCTGCCAATTTCTTGAAGGGGTGAGCTAGTTAGGAGAGATTATTATTGTTACAAGGTTGGGCTTGGTTCATTGCTAATTAGGGCAATTTGGGTTGGGGCTGTTGGGCATATTTGCAGCCCGAGCATCTTGCAATGGGTTCAAAACTTCACTCCACTAACCTAACATAACTCAACCCTTAGACATCCAACCTTTAAGGCCATTTCTCTTTTAGAATTCCAAATATTTAGAAACATAAATATCCAGATACTTTGATGCTTGGGTATCTAGATAGATGCATTGCAATGATAAAGATAGCTGCATTCTTTTTGCTGAATTTGTCCATAAGAATGTAATGAAGTTAACACATGTTCTGATAATGCCTTTGTTGTAAGTTCTTGTTAATTTATTCTATACGTCTATTCTGTTTATATTAATTTTATGTTCTTGTCAGTCAATGTAAATTATACTATTTTCATGTCTCATTTTATACTTCAATTAATTTAAGAATTTTTTTAATGAAATATTGGTTGAACATTTACATTTTACATACTCATTTAACATAAATATAGTTTCCTAAAGTAATAAAATATTATGAGTTTCCTATAAATTATAAAGAGTGAGAGAGCTTGTATGGTCTTGTCAATTATGAGGTTCTTTTGGAGTAAAATAAAGTTTGTTGAAGAGCAATTAAGGAAAAAAGGGATTATGATCCCATTGTATTTCATATAAGCCCAAAGGGTCAAGTATTGCCTCTAGCTGCTTCAGTTACTACTCTTTTAATGTAATTTCTTCAAGTTGGTGCTGCTTCTGTAACAATATGAGTACCTTAGCTATTTCCTTGTATTTGGCCAATAATTTTTTTTCTCCATTAATTTTTGAAAAGGTTGTGGTGGTTGATCCTGAGGCTTACACTTACGATGATGAGGTGATTAAGAAAGCAGAAGCTATGGGTAAAGCTGGACTTGTGGATATCACTGCCAAAGAAGATAGTTTTATCTTCACAGTTGAATCTACCGGTGCAATCAAAGCTTCTCAATTGATACTTAATGCCATAGATATTCTGAAACAGAAGCTGGATGCAGTCCGCCTTTCAGATGATACTGTAGAAGCAGACGACCAGTTTGGTGAGTTAGGTGCACATATGCGAGGTGGATGATCTCGATACCAGGCCTCCCCATATGTTTCTAGGAGGTTAGGCTAACTTTAATTTTGTTTTCCTGGACAATCTTGTTTCCTGTATGAATGCACCTGGTCCAGTGCTGCCTTTTTCACATATTCAATGCATTTCTAGCTTCGGGAGATAGTTAACATGTGGTATCTTTGGCGTGTTTGGCTCATCTCCATGTTGGACCTGGTTTAGTAGATTATGAATGATAGTTAATTCAGCTTCTACTATTTCCAGGCCATGCTTTGACTATTACTTTTCCAGAGGCTGCGTCCTTGGGGCAATTTTTGTTGTCTTTTAAATGACATGGTTAGTTGCCCCAGGGGTTGAAATTGGTACAAGACAAGATCTATGGTGACAGAACTACTATTTTCTTTGGTATCCTTGGATAGAACTTAGAAGATTGTCATCAAACAGTTGTATTGAAGTTTAATCAATTGTTTTAGTCTCTACTGTGAACCAATTGTGCATATGTGCTTTCTGAAATGGCATTCTCATTCGAAATAGAAGTTTGATGGTTTTGAGAAGTTCAAAACCAAAAGTGAAGCTGACAACTTTATCATACCGATTTCCGAAGATGAAATGGGTGAAATTATTTGGTTAAGGAGGGATTTTTAATTGAGTTTTTATCAAATATGATAAAATTTTATAGTTCATCGCATATTTTTCAATCCATCATGACTGATCCGAGAAGAAAATCAAGAAAGACTTAGCCTAATTTTGATGCGCCCCAACAGAGAAAATGATCGACCCTAAAGATTTACAAACTAAAGGTAGTGATCCGAGGGGAAGATGAGAGAGAGCTCCTAGCCCCTTTTTGTATCATTTATATTGAACATGTCCTAAAATGAAAAATCCATAGGCCTCGAGATCTCGTTGGCTAGGATTTGTCCTCTGTGCCTTCTGATCTCAAATTGCAGCAGCCTGGCGTTTCCTTTAACTAAGGATCCAAAATTTGTATCAGACCTTAGGTCTACCAGTCTGTAATGTCAAGTACAAAATCATTTTTAAATGTCTAGATGAAAGACTTAGGTCTTGGAATTGGCAATTTTTAGGCTCAAAATGCCTTTATCTCTAATAGATTGATAAGATACAGTTTTCTTATAGTGTGTTGAGTTCTTTCATGCTCTTAAAAATAGGAGAGGGGGTAACAATCCAGTAGTTGCTCTCAAGTCGGATTCGAGCAGGTGTATGATAGGGTCGAATGAGATTTTATTGAGAAGGTTTGTACTGATGATTCGATGAAGACTACAATACAAAATCGAGGAGATTTGATGGTTTGGTTCGAGGTCTCGTTCCAAAAGCTCAGGGGATTGAGAGTTTCTCTTTTCGGTTTTCGGGTTTCAAGAATAGTTGTTTAAGCACTTTTGTGATTGGGAGGACATACTTTTAGATGCTCTTTCTAAGTTTAAAAATGTCAACTCCTTTACAAACAATCAAAGTATGAAATGATAGGTGTTGTTCCAAGCTTGAAAGCTTGGCTGCAATGCCTTCACTTCCTCAGTTGGCGATAGGAGAACACATGTTGTGCTCGAGACAAATTCAGATTTTCTTACTCATCCTTATCTTCTTTTTAGGCTTTTGACCACTCGGCCACTCTCCCCTTTCCGGGCCGAAGATCACCCATAGGAGATCTTTTTGTTGATGAGCTCCTCTTCCTCTTGTACCGAGAATTCTCGTAAGACTGGTGGCTTTTACGGTTTTACCCATGCGAAAAACAAACTAAACTTGCCATTGAGAGTTTTTTCTACCACAAAATAAACTAAACATTTACTATCTCTCTCTGACAACAATTCTTGGAAGCAAATTTGAAAACGAAAGCAAAAAGTTACTTAAATATTCAAAGCAATGAGTTGGTGCAGTACCTTAAATCCCCATGATGTTTTAATCATCCATACCCCAAATAAACTCCAATAAATTAATATTGGCCTTTTAATTTATGAGAAGCAGTAACTTTGTACCTTTCATTTGTTTAACCATGTAAGCTTTTTATGCCATTGCAGTCTCTGACTTTGTACTTTTTCTCCACAGCAGTTCCATTATTTACTGAGCAATTTTTATTTACTACTCAGAACAATAACTATTGACTCTGGTATCATCCAAGATGCTATATTGCTATGCCCTTTTAACTTTCTGTGTCTTTAACATTGGCTTTTGAGGTAATTAATGAGATTAGATTCCTTCTTAAGACCAAAACAGCCTAAGATTCCTTGAAGAAAAATGAAGGGTTTTTGGGTCATTGCAGGCTGCCAAAAAGATGCTAAATCTTTGTCTGAGAAGCCAGACATGGTGCAGGGACATGCTTCCTCTGATAACATTTTGACCCTTTTAAAGGTGGATTCTTTTTTGAGGTCCAAAGAAAAAAAGACCTGCAGAACCTTCTCTGAGTTATTTGGCACTCAACTTCCAATCTCACCCCTAGAAAATGGACTTTGCTCTAGTGATATTTCTTTAATTACTTCTTATTTATATAAATGTGTATTGTTTATGGAATCGATGCAAAAAATTTTAGTACAACAAATGTGAGGGCGAGGGATTGAATGTTCAACTTCAAGGAAAGTAATCCGTACCTAATCACTAAGTTATTGCTTGGGTTAGCTTTGAAGTAGAGAAATTGAGTTTGTGTTTGGTATGTGACGATTTTGTTTATTTATGATACAAGTTTCCTAATCTCGTAGTCCATAGGTTGTATAAATTGTGTTTATGAAATACACCTTAAATTACGATAAAAATATATAGCACTGCGGTTGGTTAAGACGTGTATTACCGACTAAAAAGTCGTATGTTTGAACTCTCACTCCAGACTAACAATATACAAATATAGTGGTGTACAGCTGCCCGAATGAAAATTCACTTGAACAATGTGTTTTTTTCCCTTCTGAAATATGAAGTTATGGGCATTCAATGTTTTTCCAAAAGAACAACAGAAAAACATTGAATTTTTCATGTCTTGTTGCTTTTAACATTTAGGTGTGAATGTGACAGAGATTATGAATGTGTGAGGACAAAGGACAAAACTCAAAAGCATGAGATTTCTTTCAAATGGGCATCAGAAATTAAATTAAATGATTCTGAGGGATAAGTCCTTTTTTTCTTTTCTCTTTAAATTTTTAAATGACTAAAAATATGTAATAAAACCAAGTGCCCTTTGCCAACTCCATTCATTTCTATGCTCTCCTCTTCAACCACTTTTTTTTCTTATATATATTCATTTACCATTATTTTTAATTTTAGAATTTGAAGAAAAAATCTGTTTGGTTTAGCATTGCTAGGAGATTTGATGCATATGTCATCATTGAAAATCCTAATTATTCTCAAATGATAAATTAATGTTATCTTACAACTTCGCTATTTATTAACTCACATTTTAGAAGGAAAATTTGACTGTTCCAAACAAGTCTTCAACGGCCTTCATTTTTATAAAACACAAAATCATATACTAGTTAAGGCATCTTACTCTTTCTTTAAAAGACGATAGTTCAAACTCTCACCCCTCATTTGCTGTATAAACACAAAACATTTAGAGAAAACAATTTTGAGAACAAAGTCCAAGGTTTCCCAAAGTTGTCAATTCATGCTTCCATGTTACAAACAAATGGGGCAATTGCATATCATCTAATTTCTAGTCTTTTGTTAATTAGTTTTAGAACAAATGATTAAGCTCATAAGAAAAACTTGGAATAAGAAGGGTTTTTGGATGTGGAGAGAGAATTGGATGCCATTTTTTTGTCAAACATAAAATTCATTAACTATGAAATGCAGAGAAGGGTCACAGAAAGTAGAAGAAGAGAGGAAGGCACAGAGATTTGTGGTACAAAATCCATAAATACCTTTGTTTTCCAGTCCTATTCTCTGTACCACTTAGGTTTCTCTCATTAAAAACTAATGCCTTCAATCTCTTATTAACTTTGACACAATATTTTTAAAATCTTTGGGTATATTGGGAACTTCAAACCTCTCGTGAAAACATGTTTGAGTAACTGTTTACATTGAACGATAGAAGGATATATGATGACGTTAATTAGTTCATTTAAGAATCTTTTGGCTCCTCCAATAATCGGGATATATATGTTGATTATGTTTTGTCTTGTATTTTCCAAAATGGAAAAAAAGATTTCTAAAAGTAGTTCTTTGTAGTCGAAAGAGAAAGTACTCGAGCTCTCTCAATAACTAAAAAGTGTATCATGCTTAACGCATCTAACTCGAGTTTTCGGTGAATAGCGAGAAACCAAACTTCCATCTAATTCGACACTACGACGATCATATTATATACCTCATGCTTTTCTTTTATCTATCATATTATTTTTAAGAAAGTCCTAAACATTATCTTTAATTTGCCTCTCATTTCATCAGTCTATGGTAGAGTTTCTAAATTACTCTCTTGTCCAAAAAAATCCCCAAAGTTATCCTTTTGTTCCCAGTCCTATCTAATTTTCCTCAACATATTGATATCTAACAGCTGTAAATAATAATGGATCCTCTACTATGCTTAAAATCAAAATTATTGACTCAATTATTCATCAATATTTAAAAGAGCTACCCATTTGCTTGAAAAAGAAGAAATGAACTCCGTCTTGAAATTACATAACGCATTCTCGACTTCCAATTGGATCATATCTCTTAAACTCATAAAACGTGGACGTGGAGATTCAAACTTTCAATCTTGTGATCGAGAATATACACCTTATCTAGTTGAATTATATTTAGATTGACTCATATCTCTTTAAGTTACAATATAATTAATAAGGTATGATGAAACATGTGCGCAGAAAAAGTAATTGGTTATGTTGTTTGCGTCATTTGCAACTTTTAAATTGTTTTCACACTTGATGAAAACAATTATTATATTGATGATGCAAGTCCTTGAGACATACATGTAGGCTTAATTAATTTGGACATTAAGAGAACTTTATGAACCTAACCATAGCTTAATGGTAGATTGGACCTAAAAAGGGAAGAAAAAGGACCAAAACTTATAAGTAATTTGGGTTTAGTTTTATTTGGATTATGAAGTTCAGTTTGATTTTGCAGCCCCTGAGAATTATAAGATACAAAATATTGTTATTTTATGTTGATTTACTATTAGTAATAACTTTTTAGTGTATAAATAGGGAGTAATTAATCGTAAAAGTACCTTTTTAAATGAAGATGGAGAGAATACGATGTTTAAAATATATTTTTTTTTCTTTGAAACTATAGTCAATCAACTTCTATGCATAGCATAAGCAACTTATTCTTTTCTCTTGGAGTCGGAAGTTCGGTCGTACATCCCTATTTGTTGTATTAAAAAATATATTATTCTCGTATGACCAAAAAATTATTCTAACTTCTGCACTATTTTGACTTAAAAGAATGCAATAATAATATATTATTATTATTTTTTATTAAAGCTTTATTTTAGTACTCTGTGAATATTTATATATAGGAACCATCGGTCAAAGGCAGTTAATAGAGTGAGGAAAA